CGTAATTAATGGACCTCGGTGAAGACACAGACTCAGGCAATAATCTAGTAGCGTTATTAGAGACTGCAAAGGAGTGAGGAAGACCAAAGTATGGTGTGATTCGTCGTAAGTGAATCAAAATATCTAATGAGTCCATTGATTGGCTGACCTGATAATATTGGGGGAGGGAGGCAAGGGACAATCGCACACCCCTCACATCAGAGGACTAATTTTTAAAAAATCTGTTTAAGATAATGACTGCATGGAATCCACAGACCAAGACCCGACTTAAATTCCACAGGTTGTGTTCAACAAGACCGAGACTACGACTAATGAATACATCAACAACTGGTTGCAGACTACATTATTCGCAGTGAAGACCGCACGTCCCCGTAGCCTACAGGCTTGCTGCTTGTTACTAATAAGCTGTAATATTCCAAATACATAATTCGGCACCAGATCCTATAATATTAATAGGGCTGTTGCCTTGATTGCCCTTCAGGCAAGTGCCGGATTAAGCTAGTGCTGGGCCTGTAGCATATTTTATAAAGGGGCCCTAAATAAAAAAAAACAACACTTAAACATTAAAACACACATTTTTCACTTGCTTAGTAAAGTAATTGTATTTTTTCATTTGCTATACAGCCAGATAATACGACAAACCGCTAACCTTAAACACCCAGTCGTTCATAAAAGTTGAAGGCGGTATAGTACTATAGTAATAGAGCACATGCAGAATCACTGAACCGGAATTGATGGCTTGAAAGCGTTTAGCGCAGGTCCCTTGAAAGTGCGGGGCCCGTAGCTACTACACGTGTAGTAGTAGCTACTACTACATCATATGTAGCTACTACTACATATTTAACTACTTTTGCTACTAGGATAATCCGGTACTGCCTTAAGGGGTTCAGGAACAGACACCTCTTGCCTCTGTTTGACGTGTTTGCATAATACGCTTGCCTGTGGTGTATGATCATTGATTTAAGAAGTATTATGCCGTTATAAATGTTGTGAAACAGTTTAGGAGCGATTTGAAGGCTCTATTAATAACCGTACTGTATATCCCATGCAACACTGTCATCAGCAAAGATTTATTTCGTGTGTTTGCCAGGAATTATTTAAGGTACCAAGGTTATTGACTCGATTATATTGCTACGGCAATCGAATGACACATTTTCAATAACAATTGGCCAAATTATAGATTTTTTTTAACAACAATAATTCGCGACCGTCAATACTAATGTATGTTCCTGATGCTCGCCGTGACACTTAAGTACACTCACAGCAGACGTGACGACGTGACGTGAAACTACGTTCCCTTCCTCTTCCCTCCCCTCGCCCCTCCACTCCTTCCCGTCCCTCCTCTGCCCTTTGGTGACCCCCTGTGGGCCCTCTCTTGTGGCCACGCATTCCTCGGCCCTTGCACGCCTCCTTGCCATCTGAATTACTCTCTTGTGTTCTTGTTGTTACCGCTTTTTAAAACGATGTAAAGCCCCCTCGAGCTCCGGCACTCTCTAAATATAAAACAAGATCAATGCTTTGAAAGGGGCGTTGCGACAATTGCATTGGTATGATTTTACCAAATTTTCTCCTTACATTTTGTTCATTGTTGCACAAAGCCCATGGAAGGGCATATGCATGGGATGCACCTTGGCCTGTTCCTATCAATATCTCACTGCTGAAGTTGCTCGCCCTCTGCGCTGTGTGGCATGGCTTTTGCATCCGTCAAACGTGAGACGTCTCTTGCTTTCCCTGTCAAACGCGGGATAGAAACATCTTCCACCCCATATCTCCCAGCATACCTTGCCACAATTCCGGTGCCCACAATCGTGTACAGCATCATATAATTACGTGGTAATTGGTATTGTATTTCGCACACATTTGTTTATGTGTTCTCGTATTATCATATATACTCTTATGTACTGCTTATATGTAGATAATGTTCATTTGAACCCCCAATGTCAACCCACTGCTTGTTAGTGTCGGTTGCTGATGGCACAGAACCAATGCAGAGATCACAAGCCAATGATGTCAAGGCTGGGACAGGACAGCAGGTTGCAGGGTTCATAGCGTAGTGCGCTAACCACTGCACCACCGTTCCACCCCTTATATGTAAATATAAAATCGATGTGATCTGCTACATATGCCTATGCTATGTTTCTATGTTATGTATGCACAATTAATTTATGTATGTGCGCACATGCTGTATGTGCATGTATACTTTACAATGTAGCGGTATTGTAGCTGCACTACAAATCTGGCGATCCGGGTTCGATTTCCGCTCACAGCCAACACCAGTGACGATTATCTGAACCGGTCCTGGGCCTCCCCTAGGTCGACTCAGCCTAAAAAAAGTACCTGGTGCGGTGTGTAAACATCGCCACTAGGGAGACAAAGGCGGCCGGACGTGGTGTTGGCCACCCACCCCCTCGTGTGCCATGCCGGCCTTCATAGGTGCTCACTAACAGCACTTGCCCCAACAGTCTGTTTGGCTAGATGGGGGATTTTTTTTTTGTACAATGTAAACGAATATTTACTGCAATCTACATATTCACCTTTTCCTTTCTGCCCATCAACAATCGACTAAGATCTTTCCACTCCATTTCAATGAATAATAACTATTTTAAATCAAGTATCTGCCCCTGGACAACATTATACCATCATGAAATATTGCAAACCAAATCAAATGGCTGTTAACTAACTGCTCGGATAGTTAGCGCGCTGGCAAAAATGCTCAAAGGTCAGAAAGACAAACCAAGGCATTCTGCCAAAAAACAATATTGCAAGACGAGTGGTGTGCAGTCCGCATCACTCAGTGCAGCGTGTACACGAAAGCTCTTTGCCGGTGTGGTAAGTGGTGGGGAAGTGGACCGCACGCCGTCTCAGTCATCACTCGAGCCAGCGATTGAAGCCAGTGTCATCCGCAAGAGTGGCGTCTTCGGTATTTTGGTACCGGCGGCAAGGGCTGTAGTTAGGGAGCACAAAAGCTTTTAATTGGAAAATGGGGCTGAAGACACACGAAGAGCTGAGATGGGGATGACAGGTCACCACCCACGTCCACAATAACACACCCCAATGGGGCTTTTAAAACGAATGTCAGAACGTATTGGCCCAGAGTACTGATGCTGGCATTACGCTCCCCCGCCTTGTTGTTTGCGTGCCTGCTGTGAATTAAAAAAATAGCAAGTCAACGTTTCATTAAGGGGCCATTCTGAACCTTTTGTTCTTCATCCCACATTCTCATTCTGCATCAGAGGAATTCACGTCCCCACACAGCTTGCAAATGCAAGAGCCGAGCACACTATGGAATAACACACACTCTCGACTCTTGCAGATGCGTTGCAGCAGTGGGCCAAATGGGAAAATGGCATTGGAATGGCACACATTATTTTACATGGCTTTATTTTATGCGATTTCCATCTACACTTCAATCTTGTTTTTTTCCCGATTGCGAAACTCAACAACCGATGACGTTTTTGCCCATTTGCACAAATCAATTTGTAAACTAAACAAAGAATGAATAAACTAGCGAACATATAAATAAATAAACAGACAGTTGCGAACAAAATGCCGTGAAGAAAACGATATCACCATGGCATATTCATCCACAACATTAACTCCGCATTAGAATTCACACGCAGCTCCGTAATTCTCAATTGCATCCATTACACTGGGGATGTTGAGATGCGGTACGACTTTGTTGCTTGAATGTGAATAAGCCTGGACTCCGTATGCTGCTGATGGAGTTGTGGCATTTGCCGACTGAACGCGTATGCCATTTATCTTGTGCATGTGGCACATGGTGAGATATGAAACGCATCGAGAGGGAGGAAAAAAAAAATAAGCGAGACCCCAGCCTCAGGCTGCTGCCCAACTCTGGCTCAGCACGGTGGCACACGCCTTCCAACTGCGGCAGTTGGTGCGGTGCACCGAAGACGGTCCTGTGAAGCATCGTCCACCCACGCAAGGGCTGCAGGGACGGGGGGGGGGGTGTCAGTGAAAAGCAGCATGGCAAGTTGGTAGCCGATTCACGTACGGCATCTGTGTGGGAACTCTTGTGCAAAAATGCCCCCAAAGGAATTGGCCAAAATGTCCTGAGCAGGACTTCTCTGAAAAATGGGTTTAAACATCTGCTAGGCTCTCTTGGGTAAATGAATAACATTAATTGATCATATATATAGTATAACTACAGAGGGTGATTATTGATGGGTATCAAGGTTTGGTATGTTTATATTACGTAATTTGCCTAAGAATGTGCCCAATATCGTCAGATCTTGGCAGCTACGCCCGGTTAGTACTTGGATGGCAGACTCAATGGGAATACCAGGTGTCGTAGACTTGGGTTGTGAGGTAGCCAGATGATGGCTGTACAGCAATGGATTCTTAAATCTATTTTTTATGGAATTTGAGCATTACCCCCTCACATGCATAGTGTTTCTTCATGGTGAGACATGCATTATCAGCGCTTCCTTCTTCACTTCAAAATATCCATAATCATAATTGATTTTATTCCCGTTTAAATTTGAGAGGCCATTTGGGTAGCCTTCATTCCAGAAGTGAATTGATTATGACTGCTGATGATGCCGATGAGTCTGGCTTCCTTCCCATGTGTCAAACGCTCTGCAATGAAATTGGCCAAACATCCAAAGGCAGGACCTTCCTGAAAGAGTCTTTAAAAGCCTCCTTGAGGCTTCCTAATGCATCGCACCTTGATCAACCATTTCCCATTCCGTTGACGTACGTGTATAGATTTCGGAGGAGATTTCGGAGGAGAAAAACAATTATTTTATCACTACATAGGCTCCCACAAGGTCGTGTGGGAGGGCGTGTGGCACAGTTTGGCGCCGGCTATCGTAGAGTTGCGGTCGTGTCGCTATGGTTCTCCACGGCGCTACGCCTCTCTAAATAAAATTAACGCTAACCGCTTGCGCGTTCTGAGATTCAGCGGTGAACGGGACCCACCCACCCTGCAACTTTCAGACGTCTCAGAACAAGAAGGAGTTAAGTGTTGTGCTCTGTACCGTGTTTGAAGATGCTCTAGTTGCACCTGCAGGTTCTCGCTGGTCTCCACCTGTTCGTCGAGCGAGCGCTGTAGCCGGCGAACCTGGTTCTGGGACTCATCCAGCTGTTGAGAGAAGGGGTGTGCGGTTAGTCGCCACGGTGGCGAGATGTTAACTACATCGCCTGGTATACGGGAGGTCGTGGGTTCGATCCCGACCCCACGCCTGTGTATTTGGAGTTTGCATGTTCACCACGTAGTCGCGTAGATTATTTAATCCTGGTCCTCCAGTTTTCCCTCCACATATATAAACATGCTATGGCTGCTATAAAGTTACAAACGTTAAGCCACTGTGTTGAGCTATCAGCAGTGACCAGGTTGCTTCTGATAAAGAGCTACGTAGCTCAGTGGGCTTTACCTGCTAAAATATAACATCGTTTTTTTGTTTAGTTGAGTTGAAGGGAGCTCGTCGTACTTCAGCGTGGTCAGGTTTGTGAGCATGACCGAGTCGATGCACAAGCACATGATGAAACCTGCATGAGAATGTTTCAGCTCAAACAGACAACTGTGGTGATTCGGTCATACGTCGAGAGCGGTGGTTCCTCTTAATCTGAGGCGCACGCCACCCCCTAGGGGTGCGAGATGCCCTTTCTGGGGGTGCGAGACATGGCCAGATTTTGTTTTAGAAGGTAAATAATCGAAACGCAAATTAAGCACCGGCACGTAAGTACAAATACTTTGCTTCATCAAACTCACTATGTATTTATTAACTTTCGATTTAAAGCTTTCGTGACTGCAGGGATTCATCTTCTTGGTTCATTCGGTAAAGTCACGTAGAATGGAAATAATTAAATAATAAAAATAAAACATTATAAAATAATTCTCACGACGTTTCGGCCACAATGCAAGCAGCCGTCATCAGGTGAAGAACAGGTCTTCTCGTCAGGTGAAGAACAGGTCTTCTCGACAGGTCTTCTCGACAGACCTGTTCTTCACCTGAGGACGGCTGCTTGCGTTGTGGCCGAAACGTCGTGAGAATTATTTTATTATGTTTTATTTTTATTATTTTATTTATGAACTTTCTACTTTTTTGAACGATCGAGAACCAAAGGGGTGCAAGGCTGCAGTGAAGGTTAAGAACCACTGCTCTAGACCCAGACACACAACGAGCGGCAAAGTAGCGTCGGCGGGGCTGGAGTGGGCAGTTCGCCCTACTGAAGCCCCAAGCACCCCCCTTCTGAATCCTTCTTGTGCAAATTAAGCGATGGGCATCACAGACTTCCCTCATACACAGAGTGGGTGAGAGCTAAAAGCAGAATGCACGATAGCCAAAAGGAGATCGCATCTTTGGTAATCTTGTTGAGCGTTTAACATTGTTAAGAGTTTATTTAACATTCACCATGTCGTGCCCCACTTTCAGACAAGGTCACCCTCCGGGGTTTACGGCACGTGTCCCTCCGTAGCGGTGCACCAGAAGACCGTCCCGCTAGCGTGCAGGTAAAAATAAAACTTGACGCGTCGTGCGAAGGAAATGCATTCCGAGTCAAGTGAATGCATGGGTCAATAGAGATGTTCGTATGGAGTAGTGAGTCCAACTGAGTCGCAGACGTTTCTCTTTAGAGGCTACACATTTATTGTAACATCAAGACGTTAACACAAAGGGGTAGCTGCCCCTTTACCAGATACAGCCTAGGGTGGTGACCACCCAGCTAACTACCCTATACGGAGGAGTTACAGCTACGAAGGGTCTGACTCTCACTCGGGTCCCGGCCACGTGTTGATGCCTGTAGAGCTTCCAGCTTGTAGACGTAGAGCTTCCAGCTTGTAGGACGTAGAGCTTCCAGCTTGTAGACGTAGAGCTTCAGCTTGTAGGACGTAGAGCTTCCAGCTTGTAGACGTAGAGCTTCCAGCTTGTAGCCGTAGAGCTTCAGCTTGTAGGACGTAGAGCTTCCAGCTTGTAGACATAGAGCTTCCAGCTTGTAGACATAGAGCTTCAGCTTGTAGGACGTAGAGCTTCCAGCTTGTAGACGTAGAGCATCCAGCTTGTAGGACGTAGAGCTTCCAGCTTGTAGACGTAGAGCTTCCAGCTTGTAGGACGTAGAGTTTACAGCTTGTAGCCGTAGAGCTTCAGCTTGTAGAATGCAGCGACCCCGGTCCCTCTCAGGGACCCACCTTATATCCTCCCGGTCGGGGCCACTCCGCCCTCGGCCTCGCCCGCCTTCTGGAGCCTTCTAGCTCCCTCTCGATCCCTCTCGAGAGCTCTCCCTGTACACGTGATCACCCCCTAGCCCCTCCACCTGGGGCCTTCTCTGTGGACACTCCAGATCACGTGGCTATGGGGTCAAACAGAGTGCCATGGCCCGGGGCAACCCTGCCCGTGGGCCGACACTCTCCCACTCCCCCTAGTGGGAGCCCGCTCTACACGCCATGTGTAGTGCCCGCGCTATCCCAGCGCTCACCAAGCCCCGCTAGGGCTGGTACTACACCTGCCTATGGGGTGTACGCGATGACGGTGCATCGCACGCCGTGCTGTGCTAGAGCTGGCCTCACACAGCAACCCACCCGGTACTGTCCGCGACGTAGGAACACCAACACTTATTTTACCTGGAATGGCACCTTTTACAAACAGAATGAGGGTACCCCTATGGGCTCCCCCTTGTCACCAGTGATAGCCAACATGTTCATGGAAAAGTTTGAATCAGACACCATCCAGACATCCACCCTGCGTCCTTCCCTGTGGAAAAGGTATGTGGATGCCACTTTCGTTATTTGGCCACATGGCCTCCCAGCATTGAACCACTTCTTGGACCACATCAATTCCAGACACCCATCCATCAGATTCACCATGGAAGTGGAGAAAGATGGTAAACTACCATTCTTAGATATTATGTTTGAGAGGAGACCTGACAGATCCTTGGGACATTCTGTCTACAGGAAAGCCACCCACACAAATTCCTACTTGAAACCTGATTCCCACCACCACCCATCTCAAAAGAATTCTCTCATCAAAACGCTATACCACAGAGCTCATGGCATTTCTGACCAACACCACCTGGCCAGTGAATTAAGACATGTACATCGGGCCCTCAGGATGAACAGATACTCTGACCGCACCATCCGCCAAGCTGTTTCTCCCACCATACAGAAACAGCCACATGAAACTCCGATCAAAACTATCACGTTGCCATACATAGCAGGCGTGACCAAAAAGATCTTCAAAATTCTAAACTAACATAAGATCCAAGTCCGATTCAGTACAGTACATAAAACCCGTGATCTAATTCCATCTGTGAAAGATGTCATTCCTGACTTACAATACCCTGGAGTCTACAAACTGAGTTGCAGTTGTGGTGATTGCTACATTGGAGAAACGAAACGTCATATCTCTGATCGTGTCCGCGAGCACAAGTCAGATCTGAAACACGGCAAAACTGATTCTTCCGCCGTTGCCGATCATTGCTACAACGCTGTGGGCTCTCATGAAATTGTCTTTTCTGAGACCAAGGTGCTCTGCAAGCCTCCTGGCTACCATCAAAGGTTTGTACACGAGCCCATCCAAATATACAAACGCAGACATAATTTCAACCGTGATGATGGGTACAAACTTAGTAATCATTGGAAAGATGTTATTAACCATGCAAAAAAGATTTAACTACACATATTTGGAGCATTGCTGGCAGCGATTTCAGCCGTACCACCTATACATAACAAAAAAGGCTCAATCAACCATTCTACACAACAAAGACTCATTTCCTGGCAGCGATTTCAGCTGCACCACCTCTACATAATAAAAGGCTCAGTCCCATTTACACGCACCTTTACATCATCTGCACCTAGTTTACACAACAAAGGCTCATACCTAACAGCGTGCTTCAGCCGCACCGAACCTCACAAAAATAATATTCAGGGCCTACCTTGGCTCCTCCCACCCTCAACCAGTATATATACAAGGACTGTTTTCTTGGAATTTCTCTCACTTGATACAGCTATCGTGCTGTGACGGTTCCATCTGAAGACGGAAGCTTGTGTTGCCTCCGAAACGTCGTGATTTTTATTTTACTTTTATTAATTTTAATTTTAAATTTTTACCTACGTGACTTTACCGAAAAAACCTAAGAATATGAGTAGGAACATCACACAGTGACATCCTTGATGTCACTGCACATGTACACACAGGCAGTGTTATATTTGCAGCGTAGACACCAGTGCCAGGTTTGCAATGGGTGGCTTTGACAAGCCCTGGGGCAAGTACCTTTTGAGCTCTAGAGCCAAAACATAACTTTTAGTTTTATCTTTTTGATAGAGGATGACTTTGTAATAATGTTTATTTGTGACCGAGTAAAAAAAAAACTTTTAGAACGATTCAAGTTTATCTGCTGCGAGCGGGTCGTTGGTCAAAGACAACGATGACTATGGTGATGATGAAGATCACGATAGTGTGACGGTGGCGTTGGTAGATTTCATGAAGTAATAGACGCGATTTGGCATGGGAGAAAAGTGTTGAAGTAAAATTAGAAATGAGCATTCAGTTCACGACATTCATGACTATTTATTTGACATAAATGCCCATAAAACTCACCTCGGATTTTCCCAAAAAGCCATTGCGGTTGTCATATTAACTGCAACAAATTGACCTTCGTGCTCTCATCCTTCCATGCGAATATTGGTGCAGACGAGTATAAAAGTGCAATCTTTTACAGGCAAAGAGGATAGAACTTATTTTTTTCTCTCTTTTCCATTATAATTTTGAAAGTAATGACTTTCCTGCTGCCTGCATGTAAAGAAGAAAGCAGCGTTGTGGGTCTGCTTGCACTACTGGCAGCGCATGCTGGCGGCCACACAAACACCCTTTCTTGTTATTCTCCACCAACTTTATCCCCATTATGCTATCAGTGTCACATCGTGAGACCAAGTATCCACTTAGAAGTCTCGCAGAGAAGTGCAACCCTTCGTGCTCGAGAACGACCCGTGGATACGGACACCACAGCTGCTACCGCTGCGGTACAGCGTAAGAGGGCAGCATTTTCCAACACGTTCGGCATATAAGAGTGATGTGCGCCGCGTGACGGTCAATCCCATATTTCAAATTCTCAGAGCTAGAATGTCAACCGAATTAAGTGCGCAATCAAATGTATGGTTTCTTTTTTTATACTATGACAGTATTTTGTGTGCATCCATTTTGTGACAGAACTGAGACCATCCACTCACAGGGTCGCCATCTCCAAGATATTAAAAAAGCTGGGACATGTCACGGGAAGAATAATATCTCACAATCCAAGAAGAAGGAGAGAAGTGCAGGTAAATGCATTGTCTTGAGTGGCAACTGATGGGAAGATTCAGATAATTTCCAGGGCAGCTACTTGGGAAACACTAACTTTGTCCGTACCGAGGGTCCCACAAGGCCATCTGGGAGGCCGTGTAGCACAGTTTAGCGCCAGCTATCATAGAGTTGCGGTCGTGTCGCTACATTTCTCTGCGGTTAGTACAACGTCTTTAAAAACAACGGTGCTATGCCTCTCTAAATAAAAATAACGCTGAGCGGGACACCACCCGGTAACTTGCAGTCATCTCGGAACGGGAAAGGTTTAATAAAGCAACGGTTTAACCAACAGCTGCTGCCGAGATTCGAAAACCAACGTCTCAACGGTGCCTCCCCGGCCCTCTGACCTCCGAGCCACGTCAACACAAACGTTTTTCTGAAGATCGCTCGTGCGCAAAGTGCGTCGCGGCTGATGCCCCCTCACCTCATCCTCTGCGCGCGCTGCCTCCCTCTTCAGCTCGTCCACGCGTTGCCGCAGTTTCTTGACCTCGGCTTCGCTCTGCTCCGCCCGGCGCTGAGCGTGAGCCAGCTCCGCCGCCACGTCCGCCTGCGCCTTCCTCTGCTTCCCGTACGCGTGCCGGAGGTCACACAGTTCCTGCGTCCGTCCGTCCACACGCACGCACGTGCACCACCGCCATTTGACTCACGTGCCCGAATGACTCTCGTTTTTCTCTTTTTAACATCGAGGTCATTGCTCTGTGCTGAGCCCTGAAGCCCACGTGACCAGCTGGGAGATTTATATTACAGGGCGATTAATTCTTAGAGCATCATCAATGTCAGCCATGACCAAACCACTGTTGGATGAAGGTCTCCCGAAGTTGTCACCTTCTCTGATATTCCTGCTGTGTAATGATTTACATAGCAGCTACACACAAGCTGATGACATGGCTCCATCTCCCAGTTGACGTCCTCTCGGATGCGTTCCATTCCTTGGCTGTCAGTTTGTTATCATTCGTTACAATCGGTCCATCATCCCTTCTTATGAGGTGGCCTGCTCAAACCCAATTTATTTTATTTCAAACTAGCGTTACGACCTGGCTTCGCCCGGGACTTGGATTCTTGTCTTGGATTAATACACGGCCTAAGTGGAGGGTTGGGGGGGGTGTGTGACGTCAGCAGGCACACTGCGTGACGCTGCCGCATGCGGGTGACATCACAGACGTGACGTCACCACTCACTTGGCGTGCAATATATTACATCCATTATTCTGCCCCCCCCCCCCCCAAAATACAAAAGTCAATGTTTTTACTTTTTGCATTGTGTACAGTCTGGAAACTACCCACACGCCAAATTTCAAGTTTTATGCATGTTGGGAAGTATGCTAAACATTTCTAACAGACACACATTCACACATTTCCCTTTTTAATATATATGTAGAATTAAGTCTTGAACCCACGATGTTTTCTAATCCACGTGCTCCTCTTTCCGTCTCTGAGTATAATTCCAAGTAAAGATTTTCTCGCTTTCTTGCGCACTCGTCAATATTCTTCAAGGACCATGTTTCTGTACCATATTGTCACAGCAGGTAGTGCGCGCTTGACTTCATTCCAGCTGACAAACCCCCCCACTTTTATGTACACCACTAAAACATAATCGGGAGAAATCATATAGGAATTAGGAAACTACATTTTATTTCAAACCCTCTGTCTCCCACCAATGTCATTGCAACTTATTACGTCTTTTAGCACTCATCTCCTCCTCCTGTAAGATACAGAACCATCGCTTTCTCGATATTCGATCACCTGTTCAGAAGAAATTAAGAGGGCTATTAGAAATCAGTGGGGTCTTTAACAAATGGCTCGCTCTGTATCCGTATGGATTCACACTGGGACACTTAAAACAATGGACACCCGAGACTCGCCTACGTTACATCACAACGGTGCCAGGTAACGTTCCTCTCTATTCACGAGGTTGAACTTGAGAACATTTAATCGGCCGTTAATAAATCAACCGGCAGCCAAATCCAGGGTGCAGCAAAGTGTATGGGGCCAAAGGCTTTAAATTTGATCGAAGTAGCAATTGTGTATGGAACCTCTTCCGATATCAAAAATAAGAATAGGTTTATGCATTATCAGAGCATGTTTTTTTTTGCATGTTTTGCCACAAATACGTCTGGTTAATGCAGACTTGATGCCTTGCAAAAGGAATCTATTCGGTGTGTGAACATCTTAACACCTGTTTTAGTGCCAGAAAGGGGAAAAAAAACCTATTGTTATTTGCAATAATGTTTATTACACAATCGTTGGGGTCACATGACACACCATGTGACCCTTAACGTGACGTTCTACTGTGGCGTTGCCAACAATTATTTAATAATGACGATGATTTGCTTTTGCAAAAGCTCCCCTATTCACTGGGTCTTTCTCAGAGTGCTTATACATCACAACTCCAAAGGGTAACACCTTAGTGGCAGCTGTCCCCCTGGGTACAAGGTGGCTTAGCATCCGGCTTGCAAGCGGGCATTAGTCTACCACTAGGGGGCGGGGGTGATGCGATGATTGCGATGTGTAATCCCAATTGAGTAATTGATCGGTATTGAATATGGCAACAAGCAACCAATCTCATGTTAACCCACACTCAGCACAAGATTCAGGGAAGAAAACTAAGGTATCTTAACCCTTTCCCGTTCGGAGACGTCTGCAAGGTGCAGACGCAAAAGGCTCAGCGTTCATTTTATTTCGAGAGGCGTAGCGCCGTTGTTTTTTTAAAGGCATTGTACTCACCGCAGAGAACTGTAGCGACACGTCCGCACTCTATGATAGCTGGCACCGAACTATGCCACACGCCCTCCCGCATGGCCTTTGTGGGAGCCTCGGTATCGATGAAGTTTTGATTTAAAGCTTTCGTGACTGCAGGGATTCATATTCTTGGTTCTTTCGGTAAAGTCACGTAGAAGGGAAATAATAAAATAATATACAAATTTCTTTTTTTATATTTGTATTATTTTGCTGTGGATTTCACACCTGATGATGATTGCTTGTGTTGCAGTCGAAACGTCGTGATAATTTTTATTGTTTTATATTTGTATTATTTTATTATTTCCATTCTACGTGACTTTACCGAAAGAACCAAGAATATCGATTAAGTTATTTTAGTTTTTCTTATGGTTTCGTTTTGTCATCGGAACGAGAAAGAATAAATGTTACTAAACAACAAGGAGGCATTGTGGTTATGTCCTAACCCTCTGCCCAGCTGGGCAGATTGCTCGGAGAGACGGAATGGGCCACCAAGTGAGCTACCACAGACTTCCACACTTCCCGCTGAGAGGTGTTACCTCTAGAAATAATTGAAAAGTGGTTGCCACCTTATGGGTCTACAGTAGCTCAGTACGGTTGTGTAGGAATTTAATAACACGAATCAACGACAGTCATATCACTTCCCATGTGACACTCTTGTCTTATACCTTTTTTGTTGTTGTTGTTAAATTGAAAATAAAGTTTCACACCTATGAAGGCCACAACGTTACACGAGGGGGTGGGTTGCCAGCACCACGCCCGACCACCTTTGTCTCCCCAGTGGCGATGTTTACACACACCGCACCAGGTACTCATTTGAGGCTGAGTCGACCTAGGGGAAGCCCAGGACCGGTTCAGATCATCGTCACCGGTGTTGGCCGTGAGCGGGAATCGAACTCGTGTGGCCGGGTTCGTAGCGCAGCGTGCTAATCGCTGCACCACCGCTCCCCCCTCCACCCCGTTCCGTGGGTCTCCCCCTTGCCTATCGCTTACGCCGTCTCCTCTCGCAGACTTCACCCCCTCACGGGGGCCCACATCTCACCCTGTGCGTATCTCTCTACAGCAAGTCGCGTAGGACGTTTTGCAAAACGCAGGGCACACCGGATGCAACCTGCAGCCTCGCACTGTCGAAGCCTCGTCTCGTGGTGCCCTGCAGCAAAAAATAAAAACAACTCACCGCGCAACTGTGCAATAAATGCCACAGTGTGCAAGCTATTTGATCGATATAGGCACACTCTCAAAAGCACGGTTCCAATATAAGCAACACATTGGTGGGGGGAAGTCAAAGGACAACTTCTGATACAAGCACACAACGTTGTGTATAAGCACACATGGACTTAAATCCATCTTCTAAGTCAAAAGAGTCAAATTGCTCATCTCCCATTTACAACCCTAAGCACGCGATGGAAATTCCACAATTCCCTTGGCAGGGATGAGTGTATCCATGGGACATCCACCGTTGGTTTCTCCGACAAAGCGAGACGCATTCTGTTGAACCCAGGAGAGACGATGGTTTGAGTCAATCCCCGGCCAGTGGATGAACTCGCGACCTTCCGCTCGTGAGCCGCCCCCCCCTCTGCTGACCCACCCTACCCCCCCTCCACCCCCGTCGATGTAAACAAGCTCTGTCTACTTGACGGACCTGTTCTCCACCTGAGGACGGCTGCTTGCGAAACGTCGTGAGAATTATTTTATTATGTTTTATTATTTATTACTTCCCTTCTACGTGACTTTACCGAAATAACCAAGAAGATGAATCCCTGCAGTCACGAAAGCTTTAAATCGAAATTTTAGCTCTTGCTTAGTTAATAATAGCGACGAAAAAGCGTAACTTGAATTTCTTCATAATCAACGTTTTTGGGTTTAGATCGCGTTATTTATAAATGTGTCGTAACCCTCCACCACCCGACACGGCCAATCAGCAAAAAGTGTCACGTTGACAAAAGACAAATAGTTCACAATTTGAATAGCACGACGTTTCGCTGGTAGTGCATCCAGCATCATCGGGCAATTCGCCAGAATGGTGAATTTCTTGCTTTGGGGTAATCAAGTTGGTAAATTAGTGCGTTTGACTTAAAGATTACGACCGTTATATATGCAAAGACCTTACCGTCCATTAATCAACCTATTGCGACGTGCAGATTGTTTATTTATTTAATGCCTCGTCGGTGTCTCTCTGGAATTTTTAACCAAACCACCTTAATTTGTCGGAGCTTCTCATAAAAAAGCACGCATTTGAAGTGCACGCCACGATGCGTCGCGTGTCCGAGGCGTCCTGCGTTCGAGGGCGCCCGCACTTTGACGGCCGCCGATTTCGCTGAACAGTCGTCTGTGCATGCCGATTTTTTACGGCGCTTTCCGCGCTCCTTCGAACGCGGCGAAACAAGAAAATTGTCCGCGTGCGGATGTCGCACGCGAACGCTGCGGCACCTTGCGCTTAATCCTCGATCCGACGGCATTTATTGATAAAGCGGTATTTTTTAGAAAATAAATAATGCACGTTACACGAAATAACCACGATCGTTTTCTGTAATAGTATTCCCATGGCAGATATTCTAGGTGTTGGGGGTAAACGAAACAAAAAAAATGTTCGTTCGGCGGTTCACTCGTTAGTGCACTGCACTATGAACCCAGGAGACATGAGCTCGATTCTCTGCCACGGCTCGAAATCAGTGGTTAGTGGCGTCTGGACCTGTCCATGAGACTTTGACGACCCTTCATCATCCTGTACCGACGAGTATTTGTGAAGCATGGTCAGAGTACTCGAGAGTGATCGCTCTTCTTAAACACCCCCAAGAGGTTACTTGGCTTCCTCTTCCACAGAGGACATACATCTCGGAAGAGATGGAAACACTCGCGC